TTCCGTGTCACCCCTTTAGGCACTGGAAGCTGCTCTAAGGTCTCCTTGAAGGCTTCTCTTCTCCAGGCTGAACAAGCCCAGCTCTCTCAGCCTGTCTTCATAGCAGAGGTGCTCCAGCCCTTGCAGCATCTTCATGGCCTTCTCTGGACTTGCTCCAATAGCTCCACATTCTTCTTATCATCTGTATCTCACCAAACACATTTTTAACAGGTTGCTCTGATCTGGTGTCTTTGAGAAGAGTGATTTCCACTGGGTTTCAAAAAGCATCAGGAGCTTCACATATCAAACCAACTGCTGGTCAAAGTGCCAGTACTTGGGGTTTTTTGTCCTTCCTTGGATGGGCTAAGAGTTCTTAAACTGTACACACAATAACCTAAGCAATGGTTATTTAAAACCCATGTCTTCTATTTCAGCAAAGGCTCTAAAGTAGCTGGCTCTAACTCCTTACTGCTTGCCAAAAGATCAATATGGCTTTTGGGATACCCAAGGGGGATTTCCTCATGCATAATGAAAATATTTGTGGCAGTAGGAATACTCAGCAGAAGACACAGCTAATGGTGGGAACACAAAAGGACACTTGGCAAAAATGATCCATGACAAGCCTAAGAAAAAGGCAATTTCATGACAGAGTCTGGTATTAGGAGCTGCAATTTCTCCACAAGGAATCAAACACAGTCAATGGTACTCACTTCTGCAAGTGCTGGGCTTCAACGTGTGATGCAGGTGGAGAATGAGCCTTTTAAGAGACTACTGACTGATGAATGGTGTAAAGCTAAAACAGTCTTGGATTACGGACCTATTATGAAATCAGTTATGATGTTAGCCACACACCTGAATATTGTCACATAAATATCAGGTACACCAGAATTGCAGAACATATTGTTCCAGCAATCCTATCCCCTTCTTACTTTGCCATTAACAATGTGATTTACAAGCAGATCGAACATCAGCCAACACATGATGCTGTTAAAATAAACTAGAAAAACCCAAATTTCTGTGCATTTTTAAATACCCTAAGAGAAGCAGGCTTGATGCTGCAATCCAAGGTGCTGCTATGGTGTACAGCACAGGGGGACTTTTCTGACACCTGCTTTTCTCTTAGAATCATAGTATGGTTTGGGTTGGAAGGCACCTTAAAGCTCATCCAGTTCCAATCCCCTGCCAGAGGCAGGGACACCTTCCACTAGACCAGGTTTCTCCAAGCCCCGTCCAGCCCGGCCTTGAACACTGCCAGGGATGGGACCACCACAGCTTCTCTGGGCAACCTGTGCGGGGCCTCATCACCCTCATAGGGAAAAACTTCTTCCTAATTTCTAATCTAAACCTCCTCTCTTTCAGTTTAAAGCCATACCCCCTTGTCCTATCCCACATGCCCTTCTAAAAAGTTCCTCTCCAGCTTTCCTGTGGGTCCCTTTATGTATTCTAAACATAGGCAAGTTCTCCTTTGGCCTCAGTCACTAATTAAAAGTTGGATCCTGGCTCAGAGAAGAGTTGCTCAGCCCTGGGAGTTAAGTGGTGAGTCATGGATGCAGTTAAATATGCCCAGCACCTCTAATGACTCATGGGTCAGGTGAGAGGAGCAAAATGCTGGGGAGCAGCAATCCTCATTTACATGTGCATTTTACACCTTCTTGGTTCATTGTCCTCACAAAAGAGCAAAGGCAGCCGAAATCTAGTCAACACTTTGGCTTGATGGGAACAACTCCCAGAGAGAGATGTATTTCTATAGAGTACAAGAAGAAAAATCTGTTTTGTGATCTGTCTTACTGTGATTCTTTTACACTAATTACAGATCTCTTCCTCACAAAGTCCAAAACCTTGCTTGACAGGCATCCAGAAGTGCACTGAAATCTCTTAAGTGGTGCTCTCTGCAGATAAAAATTAAAACTTCTCAGTCTTATTGTACACTCTACAAACAAAGGTTCCCTCTGGCTCTGCAATACTTTACTCATTCCTTGGCCAACTTATTTCTCAAGCATAACAAAGCACCTCAAAGACTTCTGTCTGAATAGTCTGAAAAGTGTTTATTACCACAATAAGGAGCTGCCACAGAAGTATTAAACACCAGCAACACTTTCTCAGAGAAGTCATTTCTTTCCTTCTCTTGCAATGGAGTTGCTATGAAAGCCAAGCTGTTTCTCTATCTTTTTTAAGCAATTGCACATTTGGTTGGTGTTGCTTTGGATTTTCTGCAGCAATGTGCTCCAGATGACCCTGCTTGAGCAGGAAGGCCAGAGTATATCACCTCGGATGGTCGCTTCCAACTTTCATCATTCTGTGAGTTCATGTATGGAAATACAGTCACTTCTACACTCACGTCCTGTCCATGCATCCATAAAAACAGTAATCTTAACTCATGCAAAAAGGATCTCCTCCTGTTTTATAAATAGAGGTATAAAGGGAGTTCTTCACACCGCCAAGTCAGTTGCCCAGTTCACAACAATGTAGCTCAAATGCTCTGGGCCATCCCGTGAGAATCCTGCCCTCTCCACTGACACAGTTTCAGTCTCATTTACTCAGCAGCAGCCGTCTAGAGCAGTGTCCCACTTCCCTGAGACAGATCGCTCCCAGTCCCACATCATTTCTCTCATGCAGGCACAGCTGTGTTTGCAGTTGTGTGATTTACCATGATGCTGGATTTAACATAAGCCACTGTATCTGCAAGAAAGCAAAAAGCCCACTCAGAATATCCACTGGAGTCCAACAGCCAACAGAGTTTGAGGATTTATGTCTTTGTCAGCCTTGCAGTGCCAGTTCCTGGTGAGAAATAGCATATACCTCCCTGGCAGGCAGCGGTCGTACTGTACTGCTTGAAACTGCACAGAGTCACATCCTTTTTATCACATTAACTAGGACCAGAAGCTGCAGTGCACTGATAAAGACAAAGTATTATATGAAGACGATTAGAAATTACATCAGGAGGAGGACGCCAGATTAATGAGCCCTTCAGTGCTGCAAAAGTCATGCTGTACAGGTCAGCATGTCGCTGTCGCTGGAAAGACAGCGTGTGGACACAGAAGCAGACCTCAGGTTTAGGACAAAGTAAAGAAATGACTGGACAAAAGGGGAAAAAACTGTGTTTATGGTTAGGTGGACTGTTGTCTATGTAGATAGATGCTCCACTAGCCTAATCAAAGGTCATATTCAGGACTTTCAAAAAAAGCAACCTGGCTGAAGGTCTTTTTTTCCATTAGGGAATCATTGTACAAAATCCAAAAATAAGTAATGATCTGCAAAAGGAAGAAAAATTTCAAGACCACCGTAAACTCATTCAAAGTAAGGGATCATAGAGACCATTTCCCAGGTTACTGCTGAATGCCATGCCCACAATATAAAACCAGTAAAATACTGTCATCATTCCCCATGCAGCATGGCCTCTATTGATGGAAGAAGTGAGGGAGATGGGCTGAACTGTCATATACAAAGAGAAATAAACTTAATCTTGAATGTTTATTTCAAGTAGCATTGACCATCTCAAAACAGTACTGCAGTGACACAGTGCAACAGCCAAATGCAAGCAGCACAAGAAGTAAAAGGTCTGATTCATCTTGAACCCAATGTCAGCGCCTCTAGAATATTTAGGAAGTGCAACTTGAATAACTCCCACATACTTCCATTTACTAAGCATTTAACATGAAATTTATGTTAAAAATATAAACCTTTATTTATCTGCTGGAAAAATCCACACACTGTTAGTGCAGGTTTTTTTCACATTCCTTGATCTGTGCACTTGCAAGGCAGTGCACTGACTTCAGCGTCACTTCCTTCTGGCATGCACTTAAAATCACTTGGTTGAATGGTCTGTGTCGTAAATAGCTTCCTCAATCAGTAATGGCCAGGCTACTTGAAAAATAATTTTAGGTCCAATAAAACACCTGCAGCAGACAAGATACGGAATAAACACATCCTGAGCTACCTGATGTATGTACAAGTATAGCACTAATTTGACTATGCAACCTGCAAACACCACACCCCTCTTCCATGATGAGCTGTGTCCTTCAGTGCTCACAGCTAGGGCACTAGAGCAACAGAAAAGCAATTCTCTTCCCAACTCGCTCACTATTTTATCTGGATAAAATCAACTCGGGAACAGCACAGCACTTTTTGCCTGGTCTTTGAATGACAAGAAAAAAAAAAACCAACAAAATCCAAAGAAAACCAGCAGAAGTGTTTGCTGCCCTCCAGAGGAAAATCAAATGAAATTACAGCTTTCAAATACGAAAACAGACATGAAGCTACTAGGCACAGGATAGTCCAACTTACTTTTAAGACCATTTTCTTTAGCAGATGATAATGGTATCAAGGAAAATCCACCTGACTGAACAATGACAAGCAAACTAAAACTGCCAGTAAGGAGCCTCACCTAGTTTTAACAGCTCCAAAACGTCAAATCTCTCCTTTTTCTTCCCAGTGTTATACTGCAAAATGCACTGAAAAGTTGGGTATTTAATGACCCAAAGCACACATACATAAATCAGCCTCTGATTTTCAGTTCCTCTGCTGTAAAATGAGAAGAGCATTTCCCTGTCACACTGAAATACTGCAAGGGTAACTGCGTTTGATGCCACAAGGGGCCTGGAGCTCCTGAGCACTGACGCTCTCAGGGGTGAGTCATTCCTTGCGGGAGTTGACGTCTGGCCTCCCTCCAAGGCAGGATCAGTTCCCCCTGCCAGCTAAAGGCAATAAATCCCATGGCAATGTGATTCGTCACAACTCCAAACCAAGGTGATGAGGCATAAAAGGTAGAAGTCTACATGGAATGCCAAGAAACCACAAGTGGCTTAGCACTTCCTACATGAGAAAATAGATAAACCATGGCACAACCTTCTCCTTGTGCTATGCAGTACACAGAGCAGGGCTCCAAGTTGAGCTATAAATATTCTATGCCTAAATATGTATTTGGATAAACATTCAAACAAAAGTTTTGCTGTATTTTTTGTTCTTACACCAGTTAAAGAACACTTTTAAACCATTACATGAAGGAAACCCAAGATGCTTACCTGACGGCCTCTGCAACGTTATTGGAAGTGTGACCTGATAAGGCATCATGAAGGTTTCTGATGAAGTAATCACGGTAGTCTTCAGGCAGGGCCATGAATGTGCCACCCATCACAATAAACTCCACTTTATCCACGCTGTGGCCCAACTGCTTCAGCTGTAAAATGGAAAATACCATGGAAAAATTATCCAGGGACTTTTTTAGAAGACTTCTCTGAAAACAGTGACATTCTTACACCATGTTTCCTCCTTTAGTTGTGGTATCTTTTAGCAATGACAAACCATTAATACTTTTGTAAAGACTTCTTATAAACCCTCCCAAAAATATAAACCTCAAAGTTACCTTTCTACTGCAAGAACACAGTACATATACTGAGCCGAGCATAACAGCTTTTCTTGACAAAGCAGAATCATTTGAACCTAGCCTCTTGCTGACAGAGTTACATTGGTTCCAGTTTGAAGCTATCTTAGATTTGACTGATAGAAGTTTCTTCTTCAATCCATGTAGAACTAACTTCCTTACAAACTTGAGAGAATGGAGGACTACACTGAATCCATGAAGGATTTTTCAATGGATTTAGAGATAAACTGGAAACCGGTCAAAGCAGAGCAGGATTAAGAAATTCTTCAGATCTTCTAACTCTCCATAAAAGACCTCAATAAACCATCTTGGTTTGAAAGCCACTATTTGAGTATTAAATTCTCCAATTGTAAGTAACTATCAAGAACTAGCAATTGCCACAGAAGTTCAGTACAATTTATTGTAATACAATCTCCTATTAGAAATAAGGTATTGTTCACAACAGGTAAGATCTTACAAGAGGTTCAAAACTTCTAATTTATCTAATGACAGACTAAAGGTGTACAAATAATACTTCTGTGGGGATCAAACCAGGCTAATGTAGAATTACAGAATGATGAAAAAGGTGAGGCTGGAAAGGACCTCTGGAGATCACCCAGTCTTATCTCTCTTCTCAAAGCAGCATCAGCTACAGCAGTTTGTTCAGCACTGCACCCAAACAAGCTTCAAGTGTCTCAAAGACTGGAGACTGCACAACCTGTATGGCAACCTGGTCCAGTGCTTGGTCACTCTCACAGCTAAAAACTGTTTCCAGATGTTCAAATGGAGTTTCAATTTGTGGCCACTGCATCATGTCCTGTCACTAGCACCACTGAGAAGGGCCTGGCTTCGTCCTCTTTACAGCCTGCTGCCAGGTATTTATACACATTGGTAAGACTCCCCTAAGCTTTCTCTTCCCTAGCCTGAGCAGTCTTGGAGCTCTTGGCATCTCTTCAGATGCTCCAGTCCTTCCATCACCTTAGTGGCCTTTTGCTAGACCTCCCCCAGTATGTTCAAGTCTGCTGTCTTCTGGGGAGTCCAGAACTCGACACAACTCTCCAGGTGGAGCCTCGGCAGTGCTGAGGCAAAAGGAAGGATCTCCTCCCTTGATGTGTTGGCAACACTCCTCCTAAGGCCACTGGCTGTCTTTGCTTCAAGGACACAATGCTGCTCACAGTCAACTTGATGCCTGCCAGTATCCTCAGGTCCTCTTCCATCAAGCTGCTTTCCAGCTGGTCAGCCCCCAGCACATACCAGTGCCCGGAGTTTGGCATTTCCCTTTGTTTAACTTCAAGAGGTTCCTGCCAACTCATTTCTCCAGCCTGTCCAGGTCTCCCTGAATGGCAGCACAATCCTCTGGTCTACCACCCACTTCTCCCAGTCCTGCATCATCAGCAAACTTGCTGACAGCATGCTCTGTCCCAGCATCCCTGTCATTAACACAGACATTACCACATTAAGCACTAGTGGTCACAATATTGACAGCTGGGTTATATCCAGCTTCCTGCCAACCAATTTAGGTGATTAAAAGTGTTCTCATTACTTTCTTCGCAACCACAATGTGTTCCCCTTTCAATGGTAAAATTTCACCTGTTCCACTCTGTGTCTTGTCTGGAGATAGGGGTCATATCTGGCTCGAATCGCCCTCATGGATGTTGGCTAAAAAACAGAAGGAGATTCAGTTTGTAGAATAGTTTTGTATTCAGTTTGTAGAAGAATGGTGAAAAAGAACAAAAGAAAACTTTCAGCACTGAAACGGATGCTGAAGTCTTCAAATCCTAACTGACCCTAAACTCTGCAAACTCACAGCCAAAGAGTCCATCCAATTGTGAATACAAATTTGGCTCCTTCCATGTTTTAAAATGATAATGAAACACACTGTTTTGCTGAGATGGTAACATGACATAAAAACAACACAGCTTTTCAAACTTTTAGTGCATCTTTATCAACCGGATAAAGAATCTCTGTAGTGATTCACTGAAGATATTGCAAACATCACAAACAAAATGTTTTTCAAAATACCACTTCTTCCATTCCGTTCATTTTAGTTTCTCTTTACTTGCACAAGTTATCCAAACAGTCTCCCCTACAGCACAGTCTAAATTTCAAATATTCTTTAAGCTAAACATACTCTTTCAACTCCAATCTCTAACAACTTACTTATTACTACTACTGTTTGCGTACTAATAATACTCTAAGATAAGGTTTTCAAGTACCTTGTGTATCCTGGATTTGTTGAGCATTTCATTCATATTACATTAAAAGTTCTAAATGATGACGACTCTTAATCATGCACAACTCCCACATGCTGTTAGTACTAAACGAGTGAATACAACATATCCAAACCAACAGGAATTACAAAGCATTTACATATACACAGATTTTCCTACTTTGCACTAACAGAACAAGTTTCAAGTCACTGAGAAGTGGATAACAGCAGAAAAAATCTGTAAGTATGCTGAATCGCTGTTTACCAAATCCAGTTTGCATTTTACCTCATTTTGCTACTTTACGTCTGTACTATAGCTATGAGTTATTTTGTTAAAACCAGTCAGTAATTTAGTCACAAGATCTGCTGCTGCTAAACTTTCTCCAGACAACAAGAGCACGCTATTTCGGAAATACATATATTTAGTGAGATATCACTGCAGATATGGAGCATTAATGTAATTTCAGAGGCAGTAACAGCTAAATAACAGGCTTTTTCTTGAGAGCTTAACCTTTGTTAACCTGCAGTGTCCTGTAGGTTGGACATGACCGAAAGCAGGTCCACTTAAGACAGGATGCTCAGGTCTCTGTCCAGTCAGTGCTTGATTACCTTTAAGAACAGTTTCCAAAACCTCTAGATAAATCCCTACTCAAGTGACTGATAATTGTCATGTTAAAACATCCTTATATTAGGGCATAATTTTCCACATTCTAACTAATGTTTGTTGCCCCTCCTCTTTCCACTGGGCAGCTCTGAGGAGAAGTCTGGCTCTGTCTTCTCTGTACCTTTCCCTTAACCCCATAGGGAGCCATAAGTAAATCTGTACAGTTCTGTTGGACTGTTCAGTCAGGAAAATTTTGACACACAGGCATCACAGCCAGCATTCATTTCAACAAATTGCACACAGCAGTGTCCCATGAGAGACCACAATGTCACCTCCAACTGCTCTCACTCACTGATCTCTTTCCACAGCTGGAGATTCACATTAACAGCAGTTCCCACATCAGCAGGTCACGGGGTACAACCACAATGCTGCACTTGCCCTGCTTGGAATCACAGGCTGCTCATTCCTGCATGTGTAACATTATGAACAGAAGCAAGGTGAGGAGAAGGAAACAACTGCTACAATAATCAAGAGGAATTTCCAGTCCTGTGGTTGAGCTGCTTTAGATCTCAAACTTCATGAAGCCTACTTTTGGTTTTTATTCTTGCAGCATGACTTAATCTGCAGAAATAAAGAGCAGCTGAACCCAAGTTTATAGTGAGCATAGGCAAGGCGCTACAGCAAACCAAATTAATACCTCATATCCAGTGTAAGACTGTGTTGAATATTCAAAGTCAGAATCAGGTCCACCCGGGCAGTATCTGCAAATATAAAAAGACAGAAAACAGGCATGAAACTCGTACAGGTGCAATGACTTAATCTGTCTGAGGTACAGGCACACAAGACGGTGCAGGCTGAGCAGACACTGCTCTAACTGACCCAGCTCTCACCAGAAACACACAAATACAAATCATAGAACCACAGATCATGGTTCAGAGCATGGGATGAACCAATAAATTTGTGTGTTTCTGCATCACCTTATGTAAATACAGGTACAGATTCAAACACAGATGCTGAAGGGGGTAATTCTGTGAGTTGAGAGGAACTGAGACTATGTCTGTTTACAAATGCTAAGTATACAGTACAGAACAGTTGTTTTGTTTCATGAGAATGCGATGTCAAAAAACAGTTCAGACATGGCAAATAACTACATCCACAAAAAACAACTTCGTAAGACTTACAAGAAGCAAAGTGTACTGTGAACCTATTTCTGGAACATGGCATTGTTTAAGGAAGGAGCTGCCATAGAGTTAAATTAGTTTCTGCATGTAGAGGCTTGTTTGAAACTCTTTATTCTGTGACACAGCAAGACAGACTTGCAGCTACCACAGCATGACTGCTGGCCAGGAGAGGAATGGTACACGGCAGGGAATAATTAAAGGAATATAAACTTATTCTGAAGGGTCCTTAACTCTCTTTTGAGGACTATGGTTATTAATGACCAATCTACAGCCATTCTGGGCTCCAAGGCAGCCCTAGGCACGACTGTTGACAGTCCTTTCTATTTTAATTGCAGGCTCTGAGCACCCCCAACAGAAAACAGAACAGCAGTCAGCGTATTGCTACTCATGGTGCAGATCTCAGTGCACAGACACCAAGATAATGCCATCTCAGTCAAATCAGACACATTTGCCTCACAGTATAATGGATGAGTTTTCCCAGTGCCTGCCCTGCAAACTTAACCCAAGTCATCTGTCACCATTACAAAATTAATTACCAAATTACCAGGGCTGAATTAATTTGCTGGCAAAAGTTGTGCAATCCAATTGAAGGCATTTCATACACGTAATTACCTGGAACATCTCGGACAGAATAGTGGCTCATGCAAGAGCAAGATCAGAGCCAGCTCACTCTGCATCGGGCAGCTGGTAGAGAGATAGAGATGTTTTGGGAGTGACAAGGCAGGAAACAGAGGCAATGTTTTGAAATAGATGAACCGTTATGGTTAGAAAAAAACCCAGATGTGATGACAGGTGTACAGACTCTTAAGTCAAATGGAGGTAACATACTTCAAGGTAAAGCCATTTTGGGTTTCTCAATTCAAATAAAACTCCAGTGCTATTCCCTTAACACCACAAGCTCTTGGCAGCTGGAGGCCTTCCCTTCCATCTGTGCTCTCATTTCACTCCAGAGCCAAGCAGAGCCAGGCTGTCACACCAAGCAAGTTTTTGCAGACACCCACCTACACCTCCTCAGGTGGGTCCCAGTTCATCACTTTTCAAACTTGTCAGATTGAGCCCTGTTTCTTTTCTGGAATGGTCTTCTCCAATCTGCTTACATACCCAGACATGCGCCTCTGCACACCCTGACACAGTCATACAACTTACATTTGACTGTTAATAGATTCTCCTGGTTATTCTATTCACAAAACTGTATTCTACTAACATGGCCCATGAAAGAAAAAGGTCTCCTCCACGATGAAAAACTGAAAACAAGTAGACTTTTTAGAGTAATATGCAGGTATCAGCAATCTGCAACTCTGCACTTGTGCAGGGAGCAAGCCTGTCTCCAATACAATGCTGCTGCAATCATAGATTTACACAGAAATATTGGAAGACAGACTGAGAAGAGCTGTGGTTCTGCAGCCTGGAAAAGAGAAGGCTCTGGGAAGATCTTACAGCAGCTTCCAGTGCCTAAAGGGGCCAACAAGAAAGCTGGAGACGGGCTTTGGACAATGATCTGTTGGGACAGGACAAGGGGGAATGGCTTTAAACTGACCGAGGGGAGATTGAGATGAGATCTTAGGCAGAAGTTCTTCCCTGTGAGGGTGGTGAGGCCCTGGCACAGGTTGCCCAGAGAAGCTGTGGCTGCCCCATCTCTGGCAGTGTTCAAGGCCAGGTTGGACGGGGGTTACAGCAACCTGGTCTAGTGGAGGTGTCAGGGATTTGGAACTAGATGAGCTTTAAGTTCCCTTCCAACCCAAAGCATTCTGTGATTCTATGAAAACAGTTCTCTTAGCTCATCTAAGCTGTCATACTTACACACATATGTTGCCTGTGAAATTAATGTGCGGACACCTGTGTGGTTTACACATCACAGCTACAACAGCAATCTGTAAGAAGCAAAATTAGAGAGGAGAGAAATTATGGTAATTGCTGCCGAATTGACTTGGAAGGCTATGTATACATGTGCATCTGTGAGAGACTATTTAAAGATGTTTTCTGCTTAGTCTGCCAGCTAGAATATCTGTGTGTTAGCTCTTGAATGAGATAACAAATATATAAAGGAGCAGGAATCTTATTCTTTAATATTTTTATGATTCAGAATAAACTTGACAGTTTATTGGAAAGAACCACGTGTCTTATAGCGAATCTGATTAACCACCTTGGTGAAGAGATGCACACAGACATTCAGGTATTCACTGAGCCCATCTAACATGTACCTAAAAGGGTGAGAGTGTGTTGGCAAGCACACCAAACACCACTCAAAGATGAAAACAAGGGAGAGATGAAGAGAAACACAAAACCATAAACCAACGATAATAAAAAGAGCTCCCTCCCTCCACCTGAGCCAAGCCCTTTTTCCCTGTTGGATCTCACAACTGCTTTTCATACACTAAATGCAAGCCTAATGCCAGATCCCATCTTCCTTCACTAAAAAAGAACCAGAGGGAAGAAGAGAGGGACACACAAAGATCCTCTTAATTTGGAGCACTGAAAGCAGAACACCTAATTTCGTGTTTTCAGAAATCCTGGTTGAAGTAAGAGTTTAACAAAATATTCTATAGAAAGAAGATATTAAAGTCTTTTCTAGGCTGAACAAGCCCAGCTCTCTCAGCCTGTCTCCATAGGAGAGGTATTCCAGCCCTTAGAGCATCTTCATGGCCTCCTCTAGACTTGCATTAACACATTTTATATGTGTTCACTGAGAGGGCCTGAAGGTTAAGCTGCACTTTTTCTACACAACTGAAAAGTAAGGCATGGTGCTCTGAAAATAGATCCCCACACTGCCTTTTTACCTCCTCCCAAGTACTTTGAAAGCAATAGCCCTGTAGGCACAACATCACAGAGAAGTTGACCTGCAAGGCAGCAGTGCAGCCAGTGCGTCCATATGGACATTCAATATCCACGTTATTAAAAATAATTAAACACAATTTATTGATGACAGCAGGGGGGGATGGTGAGAACAATGCACGTGCTTACCCCACTAGCAGTCCTTATAGGCTTGGCCTTCAGCTTTGGTACCAGCACCTTGCGGTACTGTGGTGGAACAGCAGCAATGATGTCAACCAATCGTGGCTGTGCTGAAAGGCCATACTTCGCCGCCGTCTTGGTTTTCAGCCTGAAAGCAGAAATACCTCAAATTAACAACTCCATTCTGACTTATTTACCCATATTTCACAACAATGCCATTGTGCTGCTGTCCAGTTACATGGAGATCTACGTAGGTTCTCCCAGTTTGCTCTTCCAGGTAAATTATTTAAAAAGCATACAGTTATTTCTTGCAACAGCTGCATTAAGATACCAAAAATTAACTCCAAATAAGGTTGATGCAAAACTGCCAATGTTTTTAGTTTCTGTATAGTTTTCTTCTAAATATGGTTTTATCAAAGCATTGCCAAAGCTGCCAACAGACTCTGGCTTGTCCATTTTCAGAGATTTAACTCTTTTCATGTTTTCCACATGATTAACCCCTCCACATAGAGTTTAGCCAAGTTCATTTCTAACATGTTCATGTCAGTTACTTCCAGCATCAGCAAAAAGGTTGCAATTATATCAGGTAAATTAAACGGAAACAGCAGGACAAATTCAGGTTTATTATTCCACATGCGTCAAGAAGGAAGAACTTTCTCTAAGCACCAATGCCATTTATAACACATTGCCAAGAAAATCTGATTTTAACTTTATTCCAGTATTATTCTCTCCTTTCTGACTTCAGGACTCCTGAAGGATGAATGCAGATAGAAACATAAAAAGGCAATGACAAGTTTCTAAAGAGTTTTGCACCAATACAACCTCTTTTGTACTCTGAGCATTGACTGTGAAGTAGCAAATCACTGCAGAATTTACAAATCTTGGTGTCTTTATTATCAGGTAACAGTAAGAGAAATGACAGTAGCCTGTGAAAATAAAACATTTTAAAATAAAGCCTGCATATGATACAGGACAGATTCATCACTGATGGACCAGCTCTTCAGCATCATTCCAGGGACTTACTTGTTCAGATTCACATCGTTTCCCTGCTCATGAGCCTCGATTAACTGCTTTATGATGTCAGCAATTGTCATCATCATCAGCTCTGCATGGCTGAGGTCTCCTGCAATGAGAACAAACCAAATGATGTGTATAGCCAGAGCATTCTACCTGCTTGTGGCAACCAATGCACACCTGCTCTGCAATTTAATACTACCTACAGTTACTGCTCTCAAAGGGAATTTTGCCACTGCATATCACTGCAGCCTTCCCCAAATAAATGACTGTCACCATCTCATATCACTGATTCTCTTTTACTTCTAGGACAGGAGCCAGGCAAACTCCTGAGCACTCACGTGAATGCAAAGGAATCACAGGATCATTAGGGTTGGAAGGGACCTCTGGAGATCATGTAGCCCAATCCCCCCTTCCAAGGCAGGGTCTCCTAGAGCAGGTTACACAGCAACATATCTGGTGGGTTTTGAATGTCTCCAGGGAGGAAGGAGAAACCAGAACCCCCTTGGGCAGCCTGTTCAGGGCTCTGTCACCCTCAGTGTGAAGAAGTTCTTCCTCACGTTGAGGTGAAACTTCTTGTGTTTTAGTTTACGGCCATTGCTTCTCATCCTGTCACTGGCCACCACCGAAAACAGTTAGGCACTATTCTCTTGGCACCCACCTTTGAGATATTTATACGCATTAATCTGATCCCATCTCAGTCTTCTCTTCCCTAGACTAAATAAGCCCAGCTCTCACAATCTCTCCTAAGAGAGATGCTCCAGACCCCTGATCATCCTTGTGGCCTCTGCTGGTCCCTCTCCAATAGCCCCTTGTCTTTCTTGTGCTGCTGAGCCCAGAACTGGACACAGCACTCCAAGTGTGGCCTCACCACGGTCGAACAGAGGCGGAGGATCACCTCCCTCCACCTGCTGCCACACTCCTCCCAATGCACCCCAGAATACTATTGTCCCTCCTGGCTGCAAGGGCACACTGCCAGCTCATAGTCAACTTATCATCTACAAATACTCCCAGGCCTTCTCAGCTGACTCTGTCTCCCATTCACAGCGCCCGATTCAACAGTGGGGGGAGAATAGGGGCGGCTCAGCGGGGGGTGCCAAGTCCCTCCATCCTCCTCCAAAAGAGCACGGAGGGAGCAGCGCAAAGCCGTGCCTCGTTCTCTCTCTCCGCACACACGCGCAGCGTTCATGGAGGTGGTAACTCCATAGCTCCATCGCCACAGAGCCAGAAGCAGCGCGGGAACCCCCCCGCCACGGCCAAACACACGGTGAAGTGCTGGCCCAAAGCCTCTCCTTGCACACAGACGAGGCCGGGGGAGGCGGCAGAACCCTACCCCACCGCCCTCAGCTGCTGGGAGAGGGGCAGGAGCCGCCTCGCAGCACGAACCGGACTCAACGTCCCGCACACCCCGGTACCTTTCCTCTTCTGCCTCATGCTGCCCGCTCCCCCTCAGCGGCTCCCTTCACAAGCCAGGCCACGGGCCCCTGCCATCAAGCAACACCGCTCAGCTCTGTCGCGAAAAAGCCGCACCTCCAGCCGCTCTGCCGGAAAGCGACACGAGGACGGCGGGCATTAACGAGTGCCTCCGCCAGCCGCTGGGGGCGCTGTGAGGGGGACCCGCGGGGCGCAGCCTGTCCCGTGGGGAACCCCATCAGTGTCGGCGCCTCCGTACCGTGGGTGGTGCCGAGTGTCCCTCACTGACGTGATCAGCGCTTGCCGGTGTAGCGGCGGACCGAGTTCCCCCCGCTCCATGGCGCTCTTCGGGCCCTGCGCCCCTTCAGCGCTAGATGGTAGCAAAGCGTCAACGTGAGGGAGGGAAGAACGAGCTGGATTTTCCTGCGAAATGGATAAAAGTGCCCGAGAGGTGCTTGGAGACCTGCGGGCTCCTGAGGAGCACAGGGGGGAGCTGGGGCGTGGTGCAGGGGAGCAGGGGTGTTTGAGGGTGCCCATGGGAAAGAGAGGTGAGGGAAGAGGCTCCTTCAGCGGGGAAAGGAAGGGCTTTGGGGGAGGCTGACAGCAGCCCCACAACCTCCACAGCAGTGTGCGGTGGAAGGACGGGAGATAACAGGAATAAATTTGAGGAGAGAGGTTCAGACTGGATCGGGGCAGTCCCAAGCACAAACACAGGCTGGGGGAGACTGGATTGAGAGCAGCCCTGAGGAGAAGGACTTGGAGGTGTTGGTTACTGAGAAGCTCCCCATGACCCAGCAGTGTGCGCTTGAGCCCAGAAACCAACTGTGTCCTGGGCTGCATCACCAGCAGTGTGACCAGCAGGTCGAGGGAGGGGATGCTCCCCCCCTCTGCTCCACTCTTGTGAGACACCCCCCAGGCCTGTCTCCAGCTCTGGAATCTCCAACATAAAAGAAGGACGTGGAGCTCTTGGAGTGAGTCCAGAGGAGGCCACAAAGATGCTCCAAGAGCTGGAGCAGCTCTGCTATGGAGACAGGCTGGGAAAGCTAGGCTGGCTCAGCCTGGAGAAGAGAAGACTCCAGGGAGACCTTAGAGCAGCTTCCAGTGGCTAAAGGGGCCCACAAGAAAGCTGAAGAGGGGCTTTGACAAGGGCCTGCAGGGACAGGACAAGGGGGAATGGCTTTAACCTGACAGAGGGGAGACTGACATGAGCTCTTAGGAAGAAGTTCTTCTCTGTGAGGGTGGTGAGGCCCTGGCACAGGTTGCCCAGAGAAGCTGTGGCTGCCCCATCCCTGGCAGTGTTCAAGGCCAGGTTGGACAGGGCTTGGAGCAACCTGGTCTAGTGGAAGGTGTCCCTGCCTATGGCCAGGGGTTGGAACTGGATGAGCTTTAAGGTGCCTTCTGACTGAAACCATTCTGTGATTCCGTGGTCTCTAGAAGGGCCCTGATCCTGAAGTCACATTGCCTGGACAGAGCCTTAGGAAGATTTAATGCTGGACGAGGCCCAAAGTCAGTTAAGTGTAAGCTCTGGGTCTTGGCGGTGTTATTGGTTGTTCCATTCAATCAAGGGAATTCCACTGGTCTGGCAGCAATGTTGTGGCCTCCCAGGAATGTGGCACTCAGCTCTGACTCTGACTGCTGCTGTCTGGGAGCCACCAGGAATGGGAAGAAGGTGTTTAAGTCTCTTAACTTCTGAGAACCTATCTGCAACTGCTGTTGAGGCACAGTTTAGTGCCATCAAAGAGGAGTGGGGGATGGAGTAAGGGAAACGGCACCCAGGGATTGTTAATGGTTCTGTACAGGTGAGGGCTAATGGCACATGGAGGGACATGCAGGGTCCTGTTAGACCTACACTGCACTTGGTGCCTTCTGCATGATAAGAACATTAAAAACTGCATGAGGATAGAGTATGAGTTAGGTGGGGAAGCAAGCTGCCTACAGACACCAGAGGTGTGGTATACAGACTACCAAGATAAACTTTTCCTGAGGGATTGCATTTGGATTAGGGGCAATTTGCAAGGCAAAACTGTAATTTTTTTTTTTTTTTTTGGCATCAGAGTGACAAATCCTGCCTTAATTCCTTCAGTGACCTCTCCGGGACCGTTGTGATCTCTGCCAGGCTCTTCCCAATGTAAACTTACCAACTTCAGCTAGTGCTCCAGATGGGCTTTATGAAGGCATGTTTGCAGACTGTCAGAAAGGTGAGCAGGAAAAGTAAGCATGTTTTGATTGACGATTATTTCCTCTATAATGAGATGATGAATGGAAACTGTCTTTCCATTCAATCCAGATTTGTAAAGTATTTGAGGTATTAAATTCCACCAAAATCCTGAGGATTGGCTGAGTACCCGAATATGTTTAAAATCTAATTTCTCTGACTACATTAATCTAGTTCTTATATTATTTCTCTTTCATCTCACTGTTTGAAGCTCAGCCCTCCATCTAACCAAGGATCTGACACAGAGCAAGGGAGGACCTGTATCTTTCATCCCCGCAGAACAGGAACTTCTCTGCTTGGCACTGGGGAAACAAGAGCAGTATCACCTGAGTCACAGGCTGTGCTGGGTGAAAAACAGTCCTTCATAAGGACTCAGCTTCATTTTTGTTTTCAGCTCTTGCCAGAAAAGACTTTCTTCACTGACCTCAGCACACCATGCAAAGAAGTTGGCATGTAGGTCCTTTGTTCTCACTTAGGCTGTTCAAAAGAAATCTGAACTGCCTTGTAGGAGGCCTTTTGGATCACCAGGTGGGATCTCACATTTGCTCTTGTGCTTCTCAGCATGGTTTTCTGTCACTGCTATTCTCAAGCTGGTGCTGTATTCTCTTTTTCTTCCACACACATCATTGCTGCAGAGTTCACTGAGGCTTTTTCCCATGGAGACACTTGTGTAGATCCTTGCTAGAGCTGCTGGACCTCATGTGAGCTTGTATGTCAGACATCTTGGGGCACATCCAATGGCATGAGCTACTCTGTGATGCTTTGCCAGTGAATTACACAAGTTGGCTGTCTCTGTGGGCACCAAGGGGATTGTGGATGACACAAGAGGACTACCAACCACCTGAATGATGCAAACTGTGCCCTACCTGCAAAGTGAGTGGCTTACCACTGATGTTAACATGATCATAGAATCATAGAATCATAGAATAGTCAGGGTTGGAAACGACCTTAAGATCATCTAGTTCCAACCCCCCTGCCGTGGGCAGGGACACCTCACACTAAACCATATCACCCAAGGCTTTGTCCAACCTGGCCTTAAACACTGCCAGGGATGGAGCATTCACAGCCTCCCTGGGCAACCCATTCCAGTGCCTCACCACCCTAACAGGAGAGAATTTCCTCCTTATATCCAATCTAAACTTCCCCTGTTTAAGTTTTAACCCATTACCCCTTGTCCTATCATTACAGTCTCTGACAAAGAGTCCCTCCCCAGCATCCCTATAGGCCCCCTTCAGATACTGGAAGGCTGCTATGAGGACTCCACGCATCCTTCTCTTCTCCAGGCTGAACAGCCTCAACTTTCTCAGCCTATTTTCATATGGGAGGTGCTCCAGTCCCCTGATCATCCTCGTGGCCCTTCTCTGGACTTGTTCCAACAGTTCCATGTCCTTTTTATGTTGAGGACACCAGAACTGCACACAATACTCCAAGTGAGGTCTCACGAGAACAGAGTAGAGGGGCAGGATCACCTCCTTCGACCTGCTGGTCACGCTCCTTTTGATGCAGCCTGGGATACAGTTGGCTTTCTGGGCTGCAAGCGCACACTGAAGCCGGCTCATGTTCATTTTCTCATTCACCAACACCCCCATGTCCTTCTCCACAGAGCTGCTCTGAATCTCTTCTCTGCCCAACCTGTAGCTGTGCCTGGGATTTCTCCGACCCAGGTGTAGGACCTTGCACTTGGCATGGTTAAACTTCATAAGGTTGGCATCAGCCCACCTCACAAGCGTGTCAAGGTCCCTCTGGATGGCATTCCTTCCCTCCAGCGTATCAACCAAACCACACAGCTTGGTGTCATCGGCAAACCTGCTGAGGGCGCACTCAATCCCACTGTCCATGTCAGCGACGAAGATGTTAAACAAGACTGGTCCCAACACCGATCCCTGAGGGACACCACTCGTTACTGGTCTTTAGCTGGACATTGAGCCATTGACCACAACTCTTTGTGTGCAGCCATCCAGCCAGTTCTTTATCCACCGAGTGGTCCATCCATCAAATTGATGTCTCTCCAATTTAGAGACAAGGATGTTGTGTGGAACAGTGTCGAACGCTTTACACAAGCCCAGGTAGATGACGTCAACTGCTCTACCCCTGTCCATCAGTTCTGTAGCCCCATCATAGAAGGCCACCAAACTGCTCAGGCAGGATTTCCCCTTAGTGAAGCCATGCTGGCTGTCACCAAGCACCTTGTTGTTTTTCATGTGCCTTAGCATGCCTTCCAGGAGAATCTGCTCCAAGATTTTGCCAGGCACAGAGGTGAGACTGACTGGTCTGTAGTTCCCCGGGTCATCCATTTTCCCCTTCTTGAAAATGGGGGTTGTATTTCCCTTTTTCCAGTCATCGGGAACTTCACCTGACTGCCATGATTTTTCAAATACGATGGCCAGTGGCTTTGCAACTTCATTTGCCAGCTCCTTCAGAACCCACGGATGGATCTCATCAGGACCCATGGACTTGTGCATGTTCAGGTTTTTAAGATGGTCTCGAACCAGATCCTCTCCTACAGTGGGCACAAGGTCTTCGTTCTCACAGTCCCTGCATCTGCCTTCCAAGGCTTGGGTGGTTTGGTCAGAGCCTTTGCCAGTGAAGACCGAGGCAAAGAAGTCATTCAGAACCTCAGCCTTCTCCAAATCCTGTGTAGCCAGTTCTCCTGATAGCTTCCAGAGGGGGCCTACGTTGTCCCTAGTCTGCTTTTTATTCGCTACGTACCTATAGAATCCCTCCCTGTTATCTTTCACATCCCTAGCCAAGCTTAATTCTAACTGCTTTCCTTACCCAGTCCCTAGCTTCCTCGACAACATCCCTGTACTCTTCCCAGGCCGTCTGTCCTTGCTTCCAATTTTCATAAGCCTCTTTTTTCCTTTGAATTTTCCTCAGGAGCTCCTTATCCATCC